AGTCAATTACCAAAATTTGGATGATTTTGAATATTCACTTGAAAAGTTATCAAAGAAAAACATTTTTCATTTTGTAACTTCGAGGGCCAGTAACTTGGTTACGAAGACTTTTAGGAAAAAAAGTTATATGAAGTACTGGTTTTATTTTGACCCCATCTATACATTCCCGAGAGGAAAAGAGGAAGTCCAGGGACACCCTGTATATTCAAAATTGAGTAAAAGTTCGGGAGGTGACCACAAAAGTGTCTTTCTTCTTGGATAACTTCGAAAAATTGATCAATTTCATATAAAGGATGTTTGGTTAATATTTTCTTCAATAAGTTTTCGAATCTTCTAAATGGCAAGCTACGAAATTAGGCAGATACGGCATTGTATAGCTTAATTCCTATATTATCTGTTCTTTTCAACCTATTAGCTGTAGCAACACGGTTTGATTTATTTCTTATATCATGTTGGCGTGAGCAACTTCATTCTACAAGCTTTGTTGAACAAGAAGCAGATTTGCATAGACAATAACTGAATATAGGGTCATCATTTTTTAAGTTTTACAAAACCGATTCATCCGAGTATAACTCCTGGGGTACTCCCGGTCTGGCAATTACGTTCTGGAGCAGGGCTTCTGCCACCGTTTTAGCCTCCTGGTTGAGTAGGGCTACTACTTCAGGCCATTTGGAAAAATGATCCATCATAACCATAAGGGACCTGTTACCGGATGTGGTCATAGAAAGTGGCCACAGAATGTCAACCGCGATTCTCTCGAAAGGGCACCTACTTAGGTACTTCTCCAGCCTTCCTCTTTGCCTTGTCGTTGGACCCTTTTTCGAGGAGCACAGGTCACAGCACTTAAACCATTCCTCCACGTCTAGGCAACAATTGACCCAATAGTATCACTCACGCACTCTCGTTAGAGTGCCACCATCGTGGAGCTGTTCGAGTAAATTCGGAATACACGTCTTTGGAAGGATTATCTGGAATTTTTGGGTTCTTCTCCCGGGTTTTTCCATTTCCTTCGAGTGAGTAGGTCATCTCGAATACACATGGAGTCCCATTGGAGGAAATAACCCTTTTTCTGCTGACCGTGCTTGAAAATCTCTTGCCATTCCGATCTCACTCCTTAGTCAATCCATTCTCGTAGTTTATAAGATTGGATCCTCCTTCTGCGCTACGATGATATGTTGCCTCGTCATGAAGGTAGTGTCAACCTCGGAAGATGTTAACGACTGTACCACCCCATGGTCAGCTTATATCTTCTGTCCGTTTCCCTGGACAAGGGACCCTTACAGGTGGCTACAATAGGAATGAATATACACAACGAAATCAAAGAAATTCATACTGCTGGAACCTCTGGCGTGGAATGAATCTATTGAAAACACTTTTCCAACACCAGAACAAAGGAGATCATTATGGCTGAACAAAATTTGGAAAGACTTATTTCCGTAGACACGTTTTTAAGAACCAAGTATCTGCGCCTATTAACCTAGTTTTTGTTGTGTACTTACGGTATAGATTTGATTCTCTTGACCTGGAAGCCATCTTAGCTTGATAGTTCGTGCTAGAAACTGGCGAAAAATGAATCTATTGAAAACACTTTCACAATGATCTCCTGAGGATGCTAACTTGGTTAGCGAAACGTGCGTTGAGAGACCGTAGTTTTGTTCTATTGTTGGGGAAGTGTTTTCAATAGAAATATATACTGCTTTCGTGTAAGAATATCAGTTTTTCAAAACATATTTTGTTGAAGTTCTATATAGAATTGCTTTTTATAGTTGCAGTGTTTGGCCTAGTTTAAATTTTGATATGCAATGTACTTCCCAGATTATATATCTAGGTATTTCCTTATATTTTTCAGATTATCCACAAATAACAACGTGATGTTGCTTCATATACTGAAAAAAACCCAAACTGGCTACCTTGAAGAACTTTGAATCACACCAATCTCAATAGGAGCAACATGTTATATTTTGTCATTCAGGACCTTTCTAAGTAACAAGGTATGTACTGTAGAAAAAAAAGTGCCTGTACTCATATGTCCCCATTCTTTTTTTTTTATTATATGGAATTCAACATTTCCTTGCATCCTAACATCTTTGATTTGAATTAATTTTAGTCGATAGTTATTCATTCTTTATTTAATAAAATCGCATCAACCACAAACCACAAGGTTATTAGCGATATGTTAGTTATACATGGTAGGATTGCAATTGTATTTACAACCTCCTTCTCGATTAGCTTGCTGAGGTGTGTATGGAAACCTATTGAGATGGATATATTCTTATTTAAAAAATAGGTCACAATTCTAAGTGTTCAAGCTTTCCATTCTGAAAAATTAAATGTTTTACCATGGGTACCCCAGGGGTCACACTTAGGGCCACTATTTTTTATCATTTACCTGAATAATATCAAGTCGGGCTTTAAATATTGTGAATTTTCCTTGTAATAATAATAACCAGTCAACCAATCAGGAAATCAATAAAAATATTGAGGCCAGACGTGAAAGCTTACATTCCTATAATTTTATCACACTGTTAGCAATCCAGCTGATTGTTATAAGATCCAGAAAGACCTTATAAGGTTGAATATTACAGTTCGTCCAGCTTATACTTGATTTTACAAAAATGCCGTTGGATTACATTTTCAAAAAATTTCAATTTATTTGCAAAAAACTAAGCCACATTTTTTCTTCAGTTAATTGTTTATAAACTTTTTCAATTTTGGCGAGCGGCACTTGAATTTTTTCAAAAATCATCTACACGCCATTCCGAATCGAACGAAACCTCGTTCATATATTTTCGAAGGCTGAGAAAAAAAGTTTGACCCGAAAGGTCTGGTTTGGGAGAGTTTAATTTATGGGAAAGAATGATTTGGGCTTTCTTCTTCTGCATCTTGATACAAAAAAAAATTTAATTACGTAATTTTATGAACGAATTCAGTAGTTTTTCTTATAATGTTATCCATTTTTGCTACTGAAGACCCGATAAGGGCAGTGTCTCACGGCGAAATATTGGATGTCTACCAGTGAGGATGACAGTTTTCCATTTAAGAAAATTTTATTTCTTTCATTAATTATATTGTGTAGGAATCCTCTGAATGATATCTGATTCGACTCCATCACGAATGTTTAAAAAAAATCTGTTCTTTTTAAAACCCCTGTTTTTCCGTTAATCAGCTATCGCCCCCATACGAACGACAACTCTCAGAAGTTGAGAAACTTGTGCGAGCTAAAGACTAACGAGGTCTTACCTTTTAACGTGTGATTCCTAACACGGAATCACACGTTAAACGGAATAGAGAAAAGTGTTTTTCTTATAATTCAGCGTTCATATAAAAGTATTTGTTTCGAAAGTAATTCAATGTTTAATGTTTATATGAAAATAGCTGTTTCGAGCGGAATTTTTTCTTTCAGTTTGTGTCTGAAAGTTGCTTCTTTGCATGATCTACACGTCTTTGCATAGAGTTGATGTTTAAAATTGACTGCTTCCTTCCTTTCTTTGGGAGATTCCCACATGTTTGTGTATCAATATGGAGAGGTAGAAAACCAAAACCTTAGAAAGTTCATAATAAGGTTATTTATATTGAAATTTTCCCTAAGATAATGAATATATTCTCAGATGAACAGTCACTGCTGAAACTATGAAAATGTCGGATGATTGAAAAGGAATCATTTTTAATATGCAGCAATTAGAATTCCACATTATATTTTTCGTTGTGGGATTAATGGCCATTGTTCATTTTGATTTAGTTCCTCACGAAGACTAGAACAAATTTATCACGATTCTCAAATGGATTTCACTGCAATAAGTTTTGAATGTAATCATACATAGCTCATTATGACGTTTGCATCAGAGGGGAAACTTGATCGTTACAGAATATAAAGTGTATAAATAACTTGGAAAAAAAAAGTTCAAAAACAAACATGTAAAATTCACTCACCTTCACTTCGTTTTTCGTAGAATCAATGAAATGTTTCCTTGTAGTTATCTCCTTGTTATCTATTTTGAACTTGGTAGGGTTTTTCTCAACGATATGTGTGGTAAGTTAAGGAATCAAAATGTTCATTTAAGTACTATTATTTCAAATATTTATCATAAGTTATATGAGAGAACAATATACATATAAACGCATGCGATCGCTGCTAATCATATAGGCTGTTAATAGGCCGCCGGCCCCCCGGCCGATACCGCCGCAACCGCTACGTCCCTGCATTTTATATCTGTAATATCATCGAAAATATTCATTTAAGTAATGCTGTGAAGGGCCATATTGATCTATATTAAATGCACAATTTATTTGAGGTACTCAATTGGATAAAGATTAAGTGCTGTATTTTTTAAATTTTTTTTTTATGTTTTATTTTATTGACAAACTCTACAGACCATGGCCCAGTTAAAGAGTAGGAAAGGTAAATATCACAATAGATTTGTACATACAACAAAATGACAAAGAAGTTATAAAAAAATATTCAACAAGAGTATTGATTACAATCTCTTCGTAAATAATCCATTATTTATCGAGGATAAAAAATGGTTATTGTGGGTTATCCCTAAGAGCTAGACTCATATATCATCGCGGACTTTTTGTAGACCTTTTTAAGGTGTCAAATACTGTAGTACATTTTTTTATCTATCTCGTAGAGTTCAGCCATTGTTTGCAGTGTAAACGCAACAAAAATGTGTTTATTTACAACATCACATTAGAAACCTCTAAAATTATTAGTGTTTCTCTACTATATTATGCATCTTATATACATATAAACCTTCCTCTTGAATCACTCTATCTATAAAAAAACGCATCAAATTCCTGTGTAGTGATTTGTTTTTCCTTCTCAACTGTATCGATATTTGATAAGCAATTATGAAAGGCAGTATTTCTTAGGAGAGAGTTAAAAACCTTTTTGGTCTTCTACTTCTGTACTGATATATGAAAAGTTTCTGTCTTTCGTGTATTTACATGCAACTTGAGTAAGTTAAAGATAATGTGATCCCACCCATGGACGTAAAATTAAAGTGGAACCAGTTATTCACCTCATTAAGTGGTGAGTCTGTGTTTGGGAACATTCTAAGGTCAAGCCCTTGAGCTGGGCGTTCCACCAAGACTGACTTAAACTTTATCACCAAGTTCCAATCATTAATCCAAAATTAAGGCCTTTTTCATGAAATAACTGGACTCCAAACATTCCAGAATCTAAACTAGGGCAGTATGCTTCAAAAATCGTTTTGTGTTTCCAAATAATTATGTTGACGGAATTCCCGTGTGATTGATTTTTACTGTTTACAAATTTCACCAGTTCATGTTGACATTGTTGTTTGTGCATGATATTCATTGAGATAGTGATTTTATAGTTGTATTTGGATTGTATAATAGCAAAAACTTGATAGAGAGTAATAATAGTGCTTTACTGTTGGGTTTGTAAGCAATTCAATTGTTCTAACCACAATTTGAGCTTTCATAGTTGTTGCTCATTGGCGTCAGAGTGGATATCAAATTGCTTTCATTCAAACAATCATTTGTATAATGAAGACCTATGTGTGGTCGTTCATTAGAGCTGTTTAAACTGATTTTGAATAGAAAATATGATACAACTGACCGATACTTGATGAAAATCCATTAACGTATTCAAAAAACACACTTCAATGTGAAATTTTCCCTTGATAGTTTAAAAAATAGCGACACGTGTTTCGCTATATGATAGCATCTTCGGGGTTCATATTAGACATCCAGTAAATTTGTTACATTAACAAAATAAGTCAGGATCATAATAAATTGATGGATGGAGCCGTTACTACGTGGTAGGATATCATAACGAAGAGAATTGAAACTATCAACGTTTTTACCACTTTTATTTGTAACTAACGTTACTGCAGTTTCGTCCAGTTTCTTCCATTAAACTTTTTTATGTATAAGTTTTAAAATGTCCTTATAGGACGAAACTGCAGTTAGTTACAACTAAAAGTGGTGAAAAACATAGAAAGTTTCAGGTCTCTTTTCTTCATCAGGAGCATATTCTCTGAAAGACATACTGAAATATTGAGTCCTCCACAAACAATTAAATTTCATACTTAGACTTCTTTGATGGTCGACGTTTTGGAAAACAATATTTTTCCATTATCAAAACACAAAATTCACTCGAATGAATAGCTTTACTTCACATACATCAGGTATGTCTTCAGGAGACTTTTGAAAGCTGAAGAAAGACGGGTATCATAATGTGCAGTGAGGCACTTTTTTTGAGAGCATTTCATATATTTTCTTTCAAAGCTGTCTCTTGATGATTTTATAAATATATTGTAAATTGTCAATTCCTATTAATGTTTTTCATACTACTGCAGATAATACCACAAACAAATAACTGCATTTATTGCTTCAATCGGACTATAAATAGTTTAAAATTTCAAGGCTGGAATATTGTAATGGGGAATGTTCCTCTTGACGAAAATCAGGTAGTTTTCATAAAAGAGCTCTAAAACAACGCACTTTAAACTTATGATTTCAACCTTTTCCTTTAAAAAATTATTTAAATACTTAAAAAAGAGGAATGAAATAATGCATTCAACATTTAAAGGGATTCGTTTCTATTTCACCATTTGGCAACATCGGTTATAGCTAATAAAGGACAATGAATCTGTTACCTGTATGGGACAAACAAAGATGACATATTTCATTCTGTCATTCTGTAGCATATGACATTTTGTGCACCTAACCTATCTTCCTCTATATAAGTAACAAAACAACTGTTGTTTATGTGGCTTGTGGAGGTGGTATTGAACTATCATTTATATTTTGCCTCAATTGTTGATTTATTAAGATAATTTTCCTTTTTTAAAGTAGAATATCTAGGTATGTATAAATTATTTCAACTTGATATAGGCGCTGTTGCCAGTATGTGAATAAGAAAAAAATCCCTTTAAAAATTAAAACCCAACATTTGAAACATCAATTTGTATACTTTTCGAAGTGATTTTGAAAAACTCATGAATTAAACTCAACTTTTTTTTGTTCAAACTTGCATTTGCTGTAATAACCCAAATTGAGGAACATTCCCCTTTGAAATAGTGGTTTCAGGATTTCACTTGACTAATTTTTTTTGATATATTAGAAGCTTATATCTATCAACAGTATCCATTCAAAAATGTTCTAATTGTCACTTTTCTCGCCTCTATTTTCAAGGAAATTGGACACCTCCGTAATATAACTTTGTGTAAGAATATTTTTGATTCTTTGCCTTCCTGGTTGGTAGGAAGGAAAGGTGCCTTTGAATGGCCCGTTAGACCTACTGATATAAATATATTGAATTTTTTCCATGTTAAACGCGTTTTTAAGTATTCAACATGGAAAGATACCCAATAACATTAGAAACAGATTTGAGCAGAGAGACTATCGTTCAAAATCAATGGGTAACTTTTTTTCAGTTTTTAGTTTCTACTAAAAATAACACCCAAATAGAACTTTCATTCTCTAAGCAGGATGCTCATATTGAATTAGGAAATAACAGTTATCAAATTGTCTATCATGATTAAGTTATGTGTCTCAAAGCAAAAATAAAGAACGCGATTCAGTTGCCTTCTAAATGAGATACAATTCAACCCTCTTTCTTTGCTATTTGGGTGCAATTCATTCGTGAAAGGAGATAATGTTCTCAAAAAACTGACCAGTCTGTGAATTTTTTAACAAGTGCCCCTAGAAAAGAGAACATATAAGTATATTTTTGTTGTTGTGTTGGTCACCCTGCAGAACCGCAGTGAAGTTTTTTTCATTGCACATGTTTACCCCATGTTAATTTTTTGTCAACATCAGCCTAATGAAATTCAAGAGTCCCACAGAATAGTTGAGATCATTTAAATATGAAATATGTGGATTTTTTTTACTTGCAAGTTTCAATTCAATGAGGAAAAGGATATCAATCGTATCTTCCAAATCTTCCAAGTCCCATTCGATGCTACGCAATGAATTTTTCAGTTCAGTGTTGGTCCATTCTACCTCATCTTTTGTGATGCAAAGAGAGTCATCTTGGAACTCGGTCCATCTGAGGTATAATCCTCTTGTTTTATTCAATGCTTTGAAGACTTCACTGTAAACAGTGATTATGTATCAATGTAAATTGATGAAAGATAAGTAAAACTATTAAAGCATCAACCAAATAAAAAAGTATAATTTATCTAGTATTTATTGACCTTTCGGGGGTATTTTACCTTCGAAAATCTGCGAAAAATAAATTTAATAGAGAACTTTACAGAAGTGTGAGAAGGGCAAACTTTTTCAAATTGAAAGGGGTTATATTTTAAGAATGGATTGGATTTTGGAAAAGGTTTTCAGTTTCTACTCTTTGAGTAGAAACTTTTGAAGGAAGGGAGTAATCAAGTTCAAATTAAACTGTACGACGACTATGTATCATGGTTTCTCACATTTTTTCATATAAAGATAGAGTAGTAGAAATGCAAAACTTTTATTTAACCCTGCATAAATTCAATATACTTTTGCTTGTAGTATTTGATGATTTTGTCTACAAAAAAAAAAGAATCTACACGAAAAATGAGAATTAAAACTTCCTATGTTTTTATATCAGTTTTATTTGTAACAAACGTTACTGCGGTTTCGTTGTACACGGACATTTTCAAACGAATACAATTGAAAATGTCTTCGTAGGACGAAACTGTAGTAACGTTAGTTACAAATAAAAGTGGTATAAAAACATAGAAAGTTTTTATTCTCATTTTTCATGATGATTTCACACCACGAAGTAACAGCTACATCTATCGATCTATTAGATATCTTCACGTTTCACGGGCTAAAAAGTACATCCATCCAAGAAATTGATAAGACAAGTAACTTGTCTGGGTGTACTAGAAGTTTGCCTTTCTTTACAACTGTATAAAGGTCTATACAGTTATTCTCTTCAGATATTTGAAGGTGAAACTTGAAGGGGCAATAAAACCTTCTTGAATAAAATTGCTGGTTCAATTACCTAGTTTTTCATGCAATCGACTTGGAAAATAAAAATGCTCTCAGTAATACAGAACATGCAGAGGATTCACTGAAGCTGACAACTAGCTTACTCTTTAACAACAAAAAAAGGATCCTCCAGAGTCATGTCAGTTCAAACGGGAAAGTTTTTTACTTGAACGGGGCAAGACGAAAGATGAAGAATCATTAAGATGATCTGAAAAAGTGTAAAACTGTGAGCGGAATTTGTCATTAATCCATAATTATGAAAACTGATGAGGAATCAACAAATAATTTGACAATCCACATTAATCTATCAATTTTGACGTTTTGAGAGAAGTTCGTTTTTATTTTTACACCGGTTACACCGGTGGGATTCAATTTAGTACTGGAACTTATTATTTAGGTGCGTTTTGTTGGCACTAATCTCATTCAAGTTTTAGTTATTCGTTAGTTATGTTCGAAGTTGGATTTTTGAGCGAAAATTGAAAAAGAATAAAATCCAGATTAGTATCATGTTTTATAGGTCGCTTTCTTTTGCTCACGAATTACCTACAAAATAACTAAATTTGTGAATAAAATGTGTTTCGTGATCACGAAACAATAGAACAAAACGTGTTTTTTCATTATTCAGCTGTCGCGATTTACATCGTTCATCAGATTGGTGAAAAAAACGCTTTTTCTGGCTCGTGCTTTGTAGGGAAAAAAATTACGGGTGAGGGTGCCAGTATGTTCGTGTGTTCAATAGATAGGGACATTAAACTAAACAGTTGAGCCTGAAAGATATGTTCGACTTCGTTGTTTTGGTGAATATATAAAATAAATTACGTTTCGTTAACGTTTCTTCTTCATGTGATTGCCTTATCTATCCGGGACTATCCGATCAAAAAGTGTTCTGCTCATTCAGTAGTCAAGTGAGGTCTGTAATATAAATGGTGAATTGAAGAGCCGAGCACTATTCACTAACTACTTGATATTTAAATAACACTTCAGTGTGAGATTTCCACTTGCTATCTGTCAACTTTACAGTGATATCATTAACTAAGATTTAGGCATCTGTCAATCATAGTTTTAGGTCGGGAGATAATAGAAATGAGGTTATAATAGTAAGGTTTCCTGGGCATAATATCAGTTAATGAAAGAGGCTGAAAGTGATCTTTTGGGATGCATGATACGGATCTTGTCACATGGTTTTTAATTTCCAACTTGTGGAGATGTGCCATTGTCAAACTTCAATTGCTCATTGCTTTGTTCACAATAGTGATCATTTTTCGAAGAAAGGATTTGTAATTATGAAACCAGGGTTTTTTCAGAGGTTCAGGCACCCTTTGTACTGTACCATTTTCTTATATTCGACAGCGCATCTAGTCCAGAATACATATTTGAGACGGGAATATAATTAACGATAATCTGCTTGAAATAGATTAATGAGTCGAGCATTTCTTTCTTGTGATCATCCGCCTGTGACAAACCACAACAGTTTGTAAAAAATAAGCGACAGGACTTTGGTTTACCGTTTGTTTTAATTGTAATATTTCTGACGGAAAAATCAGTACGATGAGCTTTTCTCCAGATGAGAATGTCTATCGATGATGGCCGTACTCGAATAGCTAATAACTGATTGAAATAACAAATAACTGAATGTTCATTGTTTTGTTCATTTTTGTCTTCCGAAGTATTCAATTGTGAATTTGTGAGAGTGATGTTTCAGTGTGATGTTTTAGTGCGTTTATTATAGACATTATAAATTGATGCGAAAGAAAAATTATTTTCACTCACGGGAAGCACAAGCGTCCTCAATAATATATTGAAACGGCAGACACGACTTTGTTTTTGTTTTACCATCTGGTTTAGTTTCAATATGTCCGGTAGATGTCGCATCTGGAAGATGAACTTTTCAAAGTCTGTTGGCTACTATGAAAATACATGTCAGTTGTCTGTTCTCTTATTCATTTCCTTGCAAATGGTCTTTTCCGGTTCACGTCTTGTGAGAGTGGACGTGAATTGTAGTTGTTGAAGAAATACTTATTGTGTGGCCGAAAAAACGGTAAGTTTGTAAACAAATTCAATTATTTTAAATATCTCTAATAACAAATTCATCCTTCATCTTACTTTACGTGAGGTTTGATTTTCTCCTTAAGCAATAAATGTACTTAACAACACGTGGTCTTTAAACAAATTCGACATGAATTCATTACTGTAATTTTCAAATCGAAAACATGAGGCCTGTTTACCCTACGATATCCCTTCGAAATTTAATCAAATTTAAAATGATGATTTACTATATTTTCTGACACCTCTTGTCTGAAAAATCGTTGTTGAAATGAAAGTATTATCTGAAATTACATTTACATTTTATGGAACTGTTAGTGAATTTAGTGCACAAATATGTGATGAAGTGTTATTATTGCAGATAATCTATCAATATGGATGAGGATTGGTCAAACGAAATCCAGGGGAACACCGTTATGGCCCCCAAGATCGCCGAACTTCCTGAAATCAAATTGTTTGGTAGATGGAATTGCGATGATGTTCAAGTGTCTGATATGTCCCTTCAGGTAGGTACGTTGATTTACTCTATATATATTCCTCTGGACTACATCCATGCTATCAGATCTCACTTGGTATGTTGCTATTCAGTATGATTGCATGGATAGAGTCTAAAGCGTGTGTTATATATTTTGAATTGTTCTTTGAAATGAATTGTTTCAGCCAGTTGAGAATATAATTTTTAGAGCAGTGATACTTTTTTTTGGATAAGTTTTCATGGGTTCGCCCTAATTTTTGAAAAAATCATGTAACATGCATTTTCATACCACTATCATGGATATGCAATAAAATTTCATTAAACGAATGTTTGAGAGACTCAGTTGTGATAATAATAAATTTAATAGTATATCATGATAGTATACTAGTAATAGTAGGTAAAGCATTTTTGTTCTGGTGTGAAAAAAGGTTCTTCCTAAATTTATTCTATTCCAATTCTACCCATCGAACTGTATTGTGAAATTTTCATAATACAGATTGCTCTTTAGATTTTCACTGGGCCATATCACTGAAAGTATGTCAGAATGAGATATAAGCTGATGACAAATTCATAATTTCTGACTAACCTAGACAATGAAAAATCTCCCCTTTTCCACTCAATTATGGATTCAATGATGATATACAAATTTTCTGACACCTCTTCAGAATTTTTTTGTTGATACTTTATACGTAGTTCTGATAAATTAGTAACCTTTTCATAAACACCTCCTGTTAAGCCTTTTTATTAATATCAAGTTTTTTTAGGATTATATTGCTGTGAAAGAGAAGAACGCAAAGTATCTACCCCATTCCGCTGGTCGATATGCCGCTAAGAGGTTCCGCAAGGCACAATGCCCCATCGTTGAAAGGTTGACAAACTCTCTTATGATGCATGGTCGTAACAATGGCAAAAAGCTGATGGCTGTCAGAATTGTCAAACATGCCTTCGAAATCATTCATCTTCTTACAGGAGAAAACCCACTCCAGGTAATTCGTGAAATAAAATACATTTATTCATATACGTTTATCCCAAGCACTTATCAATTTTTTCAAACAATATTAAAAACTTTTTTTGGGGTTTCTACAGTCCACTTATTTATTAAAAGATTCAATTTATGGTAGTTTTCAAATCGAACGTCCTTTAATGTTCAACGTTCCAGGTCAGTTTTTTTAGAAACAACTTTTATTTCGAATCGAAATTTTTATCGGTCAATAATCAAACCAATTTGAATATTTCAAGGGATATAAGCTTGACAATTTTGTTAGACAATGGCCTCAGAACCAATTCTTGTGGTATTTATAGCATAATTCAGATGTTTTGTCGCAATTTCTTATCTCGACTTTCATGTTCAACCAAATATTTCTCTATTTCCTACGTGATGATAACGATTTTATTTCTGACACCTCTTCAGAATTATTTCTGTTGATAATTTATTCACATATCTGATGCACAAATCTTAATTTGAGGTATGTTGTTTTCCCCAAAACAACTTTCTACTTTTCCTTCCCCTCTTCAGGTTTTGGTGTCTGCCATCATCAACTCTGGACCTCGTGAAGACTCTACCCGTATTGGTAGGGCGGGTACGGTAAGAAGACAGGCTGTAGATGTGTCGCCTCTTCGAAGGGTCAACCAAGCCATCTGGCTGCTCTGCACTGGAGCTAGAGAAGCCGCTTTCCGTAACATTAAGACTATCGCTGAATGTTTGGCTGACGAGCTCATCAATGCAGCGAAGGTAAGCACGTTTGATTTTTTGGGTGACTGTCCTTTCTAATGCTACTTTACTTTTGAACTGGTACTGTAGTTTCGCGAAGGACTATAGCAACGCAAGATTTTACCTTATGAGAGATGTTTTGATTGCTGCTCATAAAAATACATTTTGCGACAAATTTATACCAAGTCTGTATTTTTTTTATCTTGTCCTTTCCTATGCTGCTCAACTTTTCGGTGGTTATGTAGTATCATTAAGGACTAGATAAATGCAGAAACTTACCGTAATTGATTTCTTTGTGAAATTTTTTACCATAATTTTTGCAACAACTTTTCAAATGAACACATTTTTTTGTTCATTCTCAGTAGTTGAACTGACTTGATTCGTAGAAGTTATAGTTTTGAATTATATATTTTTTCAGAGGTAAACTGGCTTGAGACTGATTTTATTTTTTATTCCAGGGTTCTTCAAATTCATATGCTATCAAGAAGAAAGATGAACTGGAACGTGTGGCAAAATCCAATCGTTAAATTTATTTTATATCTTGTGTTCTGTACACAATGTACAGAGTAATAAAATTTCCATAAGAAGTGTTATTTCTTCATTGTATTCACTTGATTGAATCCCTTTTGTGTCAATTTATGCTTATTCAAGTATTAATTTCTGAGGATATTTTCTCAAACTAATAGAACCTTTATATTCAATAAAAGGCGAAACTTCAACCTCTGGCTTTGAATAAATATGAAACAAGCACTTTTCTAAACACCAGAACTGCACGTCGGTGCACGTTTCATCAACCAAGTTGGCGTCTTCAGGAGATGGAGAAAACCTCTTCTGAAAATGCCAACTTAGTTGGTGAAAGGGTGTCTAGTGATTGGGAAACTGTTGTGTTCATGGAAAATATACAGGATGCAAGTAGAATAAATTTTTTGTGTAATTTCTTGTCCTTTTCTAATGCTACCTTATTTTAATAATATTGTAGTTTCGCTGAGGACTAGATCAAAGCAAAATTTTACCTTGTAAAGAATTGATTTTGTTCCTTACAAAAATATATATTGCAACAAGTTTTTTACTCTTGATCGTTGTATTTTATGTTGATTTGAGAACTTTAAAATAATTTGAATCTGTTGAAAATGCTATGATTGTAATTTCATTTGAAGCCTACAAGTCCAACGTTGAAGAATATATAAATCGATATCTTTATAGTGGTGATTGTTCCTCAATTTGGGTTATTACAGCAAATGCAAGTTCGAACAAAATAAAGTTGAGTTTAATTCATGAGTTTTTCAAATTCACTTCGAAAAGTATTCAAATTGATGTTTAAAATGTTTCGTTTTAATATTTACAGGGGTTTGTTTCTAGTTCACATATTGGCAACAGCGCCTATATCAAGTTGAGCTGATTTATACCTACCTAGATATTCTGCTTTAAAAATGGATAATTATCTTTATAAATCAACAATTTGGGCAAAATATAAATTTAGTTCAATACCACCTCCACAAGCCACATAAACAACAGTTGTTTTGTTATTTATTTATGTAGAAGATAGATTAGGTGCACAGAATGTCTCTGAACATAACTAAACAGAACAGCATGCCTATGAAATATGTCATATTCGTTTGTCTCGTACAGGTAACAGATTCATTGTCCTTTATTAGCTATAACTGATTTTGCCAAATGGTGGAATAGAAACGAATCCCTTTAAATGTTGAATGCATTATTTCATTCCTCTTTTTTTTTTAAGTATTTAAATAATTTTTTAAAGAAAAAGGTTGAAATGATAAGTTTGAAATGCGTTGTTTTAGAGCTCTTATATGAAAACTACTTGATTTTCGTCAGGAGGAACATTCCCCATTGGGAGGGTGAGAACAGTTATGACGTACATTTTCGTTTTTGTAGTCTTCAAAAAAGTTGAGTTTGAATTTTACCTCAGTAAAAGCACTTCACACACAACCTTTTTTTTTACAAATGATTGAAATATTAAATCTTTCATGAAGTTGCAAATTGAAACTTTAAACTCTGTTTTCAAATCCTAGAAAATGTCTGATAACTCCATCGATTCGCTCCTTCAAATATTTCCCTAGCTTACTAACTAACTAACATCCCTTTACATTCAGCTAATTTTATACAATTGCGTATAATATTTTCACTTCCAGCACAGTTTGCTAAACCTAATAGTCCCTTACAGGGACTATTCAAAAAAATGCATTTCAATGTGAGATTTGACATCTCAAATTTCCACTTGAAAATTTACAAAACCGCGAAACACGTTTTGTAAACTTTAACATTGTTTTTGAATAAGTACGTTATAATTGATTTTCATTGTCTGTCAGTTCTATCATATTTTTAGGAATGCCTTAGGCGGACGTATCACAGCCCTTCCTTGAATTTTGGGGAATTTGATGACTCAAATTGAATGTAGTTTGGCTGAAATTTCTCAAATTGCACTAGAAAAAATAATCGGTTATAAAATGAAGAACAAACATGTAAACTGCTCTGCATATTTCCTAACAATCCAGTCTAATTACGAATATACAAAGGATATCTTATGAACATTATGAAATGTATTTTACTCACCTATACGTTCTCAGGATATCTTTCAGACATTTTTGAAGGGTATATTATGAAGTAGTAGAGGACTCCCATTACTTTCACATTGAAATATTGAAAAATAATTGAAATATATGAACTTTTTTGGGAATCTTCAGAACATCCCGTCTAAGTACAAGAAGTATAACTTGTGGAACATTGATATTTTTTCTGTACTTTTCCAATGATTAAGGAATGGAAACCTTCCAAGGAATAAAAAAATTATTGCCCCAGTTAATCCTAAAAATACTTTGTTTTGCAAACATGCAATTTTTTTTTAAATCAACATTAATTTGGTTCTAATAATTCTCAGAAAAGAGAATCGGGAAGACGGGAAGAAGAAATGAAAGAGTGAACTTTCACAGCCGAAGATGACTGTATGAGAGCTATTTTTCGGGTTTTATGGCCATGGCCTGCAGGTTTTTATGCCTGCCGTTTTGTCTAGTACTGTGGTAGACATTATCGAAGGTGATGAGGTAACTGTAGATGTGCTCGAGTTGTTCTTTTCACAGATACAACTATGCTGGAATTTGTCTCCGATTTTATATCATCGGTGGGCGTTGCTTCCTCTCATTGAACTGAATGACCTAGTTATACAATTAAGGGCAGGTAGCTGGAATTTATCAATGTTCATTGTCTCTTCTTATCGAAATACCTGTTTTAAAGGGTGTTTATTAAACATGCGGCAAAAAATTAAGGGACTATTCTAAGGATATTTTGTCCTTTGATGATTTTTGATAGGGCGCTTTGTTTCGGAGATACAGAGCCCCCCCATTTCTCCTCCCGGGTTGAGTGCCATGAAGTAGAAGCTTCCCCCCAGCTATTTAACGAGGAGAACCTACTACCCCACTCCATCCACCCCCGCTCTCTAAGCGGTCCTCAACTTACTGATGGGCACTTCAGCAAGATTGACATCTGACCTCTTTTGGTCGAAAGTCAGCCTTTAGGTGCTATTCTTTCGCGATCGGTAAAAAATTGATTTGTCTGACTAACTGAATTTCTGCATGGGGGCCCCCAAAAACTAACCGGCTGCTATTGCTATTAACGTCGGGCGTTCCTCAGTGAATCTAAGGATAATTGGATCGCGGTCGAGTTGTTCTGCGGTGAACTTGCTCTAAGAAAATCTGGTTAGTATGCTTACTTACCGGAGTCGCCTGACGGCGACTCGTGGGGGCGGTCGTTGGTTCTGCTTAGTCGGCCTTGGATGTTTGTCCCTTTCTCGGAACCTGGGGTCATCCATGTTCAACACATCGTGTAGATGGCGTAGCGCTGGGAGATACAGAGCGAAAAAGAATTTCGACAATAACAATTTATTACCAAAAATACATGTAATGTTACTTAATTTACAAGAACTGTTGAAAATTACTCCCGCTCGGATCTTCTCATCTACTCCCGAACTCTTTCAAACACAGCAGGATCGTTTCTGATTGCGTTACACCCAGAAAATTGAATGTCTGCAGTCGTTTGTAGTGATCGGAATGTTGTTGATAGGTACCAAGGGAATTGTTAGATTTTTTATTACTTGGTGAGTCCACTGTAGTACGCTGTACTTTTATTTCGGCTGCGTTAATAATTTTAAAATTACCAAAATTATTTTTCGCCCCGTATCTTCGAAACAAAGCACCCTATCAAAAATCATCTCAGATAGAAAATATCCTTAGAATAGTCCGCTAATTTTTTGTCACATGTTTAAACGCCCTATATATTCTTGCATAATAATTTTGAGTTTTATCGAGTTTTTCTGTAACTTCGAACCAGATAATATAAATGCCTTCTTTGAGAGTAGTTTCGGTTACAGCCTAATTTTCGGTTTGTCTGAGGCGACATCTTCTCTTCGTGGTTCCAATGTTGATCGACCCACAGCTACAAAGGAATCCGGTATACCCTAAAATGTTGCTAAATGCTCTCTGGGGCCCTCAGCTGACCTTATACTTTCTCTGGTGGTTTTCATTGGCCTAAATATTGGTTTCACTTCTTGTTTCTCTAACATTCTCCCAATCCGGTCTGTAACATTTTAAAAATGAGTGAGAAAAGCTTTTTTCCTTGACTGGGGTAACTTTGGCGTTCACACTGTACCCATTTTCCTTAAAGAGATTTTTCATGTGATAAAATTTCTCAGTCAGACTTGGGTTCACAGATGCGTAGTGCCCTCTCAATCAACTTTTCAATTACTCCTTTCTTTTGTTGAAGCTGGTAGTTGGAAATTTCATTCTGTCTGTACGTGTGTGTTGGTTTCTTGTACACTCTATGGCCCATTGAATTCACAGGAAACCAACACAGACACGTACCTGGATAAAAAAGCCTAGTCACTAGCCACAACCAAAGAGAGGGGTAATCAAAATGTTGGTTGAGAGGTCTATCAAGAAAAACTCTAAGGTCAAGTAAGGACCCCAAAGAACTTTTAGCAACACCCGGGGATTACAGAATTTCTTGTAGCTGCGAGTCGGTCTACATTGGAACAACGGAAAGAAGTATAGGCACTCGTCTCTCTGAACAGAAGATAGATTGTCGACTTTGGCAAACCGACAAATCAGCTGTAGCTGAACATGCTCTCAACAACGAAGACGCTCACATTATCTCTTTTGAAGATACAGAAATACTCGATAAGACTCAAAATTACTATTCAAGAATATATGAAGACAGTTGAAATTCAAAAACACAGGGTTAATTTCAGTAGAAAGGGAGAGACAATGAACATTAATAAAATTTGGCTACCTGCCCTCAATTGTCCTCAGACAAGGTCATTTGATCCAATTGAGAGAAACGATGATATATGCCGGAGCAAAGGCTTTAAAGCTTCTTCTAGGAAACATCAGAGTAATTCCTGATCATAGAAAGTTTAAAGAACAGTTGAGGAAATTTGATTTACTTAGTGGATTTTTTAATCGTGAAGAAAAATGACTTGTTTTTCTATTTTTATACTACTTTTGAAATTAATTTGCCTGTGCCATCACCGATCCATTGTGTCCCTATGAGTTTTTGTATATGTTTCTATAATTAACTTTGATTTTTGGCTTTTATTTTTCATATTGATCTGTCTTATGTATACCATGTGTACTTAAAAAAAATTGAATATACATCTTACCTTATCTTGCAACCGATGATAATATAAAATCGGAGACCATTGCAGTTTCTGTGTCTCTAATGTCTACCGCATAGTTGACGAAACTTCAGTCATAAAACCTGCAAACAGGGCCGTCGAAATGGGGGGGTGGCGGGGGGACCTCCCCTCCCTGCTTTTTCGACTTGGGAAATTTTGGGCCGTGAAGATAGAAAAAAATAATAGTAAAAAAATCTAAAAAATGGAAATGAGAAAAAAGAAAGCGAGAGGTGATAAGAAAAGGGAAAGAACGAGAAGGTTGGGATTTCCCAACATGCATAACTTGGAGATCCCATTTTTCTGAAATTTTGAGTTGTTTGAAAACTTCAAAAAAGTTCAATTTCTCCCAAGTAAGAGAGAACAGTCCACAAATCTTGAAGGGAAGAAAACAATAAGCACAATATTATTTAAGTGTCGTTTCCTTTCAGTTGACTTGAATATTCCTATACATGGTGGAAGGACAAGGTCCTTAGTCCAAAGTAGAATAATTCCCATTATTATTTTTATAATTACTAAAATTTATTTTTGTTTGCGCATACCCTAACGGGCATAGGCATTCAGCCTATCTTTGGATAGCTGAGTAAGAAAATTAATATATTATAGTAGTAACCAATCCCTTGGCTTCCATTTTCTCGAAAGTTGTGAAATATTGCTGGTGGGGTTGGGAAAATTTGGATTTCCTCCCCCCCTGGTTTTTCTTTTCGCTACGTCTGCCTGCAGACCACGGCCAAAAAACCCTCCAAATAGCTTTGACGCAGAAATGAAAGCAATTTGAAAACATGAATTTTTATTTATTCAACCATTTCACAAACGATGAGTACTCATGTTGAACTCAGATTTAAGCGTAACAATAGGTTGTAGACTTTATCTGCTCCTGTCTGTATACCTCCCTAAATGTCGTTCTCTAGCAGTCTTATTTTAAAAACACTTTTTATAATTAACCCTGTTAGTTCAACTGTATGGTCCTAAATTGTAGTTTGTTTCATTTTCGATCACCTGAATGATATCATCATACTGAAGTACCAAAGCAAAGTCAATTCTCCAATACAGAACTGAAATCATGTGAATGGAAGAAGCAAATTCATTTTAAACATTTTCTTACAGTAAGAGTTCCCAGAGAACTCAATTAAACCTTATAATTTTGAATAAAATCTGTTTATATATAATTTTTTCCAGCTGGAATATTGGATAACAGTAATTTATGAGCAATATACATAAATGACTGCCGATTATAAAATGATGCTACTGTTTGAAATGCAACTAGCAAAACCAATGCATTATTTTGATTTCTATGAGCTTTTCACACGTTAAAAATTGACTGTATCAAATTGTTACTTGTTGAACCATTTTTTCATTGTTATTGAAGAAACTACTCTTCTGTCTCAATTAAAAAATACCATACTGTTGAAAAAATAGTGATGAAAATGTGTATAGGAAAACTGGAATAAAGTGGTAATACATGAAACCATAAAAAAAAAACACTCTTTTCGTCAGATGTAATCATTAGTTTGAAAAACTGGTCAGTTTAGTGGTTTGATATTTGTGATAATTTTTGTTTCGTTTACCATGGATAAAAACGTTATGAACTGATATTTTTAAAGAAACTAAGGTGTATGGTGAAGATCTTTCTGTGACCTGCACTTTGGTGGATCATTAGCCACTCCTGAATTGTAATCACGCCAACGGACTTTCAGCCAATTCGTAATGAACAGACTATTAGTCACTCCTAAGTTATAAACTTTGTGATCTCCAGCAGAGCACTGTTTTCTGAAAATAGTATATTTTTACTACTAATGAAATATTTTGTAGTATTGATAAAGTGGTGAAATAAAATAGCCTCAACATTAAACCCAGTGAAGCACTGTTTTTAATATTTTTTAGGTTTATACTGACGATAAAATAAAGAATGGTAGTATTTTGCAGAACTCAACAGTTGGTTTGAAATGTCAAATGAAAATGGCGACTTTTTGAAAGAAATTGGTATATTTATTCTTGTTCAATATTAATATCCTAATAAATATAAATAATTGAGAAATTTCGAAAATAATCTGTTTTTTGTACCTATGTGCGGTTTTTCAATTCTGTATCAGAAATTTTCAAGGCAACTCATTTCAATTCCGTTCAAGTTTTGATCTGGAGAATACCAAACACCAGAACTGCAGTACTCTTCCTCGACGCGCGTTCCACCAACAAAGTTGGTGTCTTCAGTGGATGAAGTTTTCGTTGAGAAGATGAAGTTCTGGTGATTGGAAAAAGTGATGGTTTTTGGAAATTATTCATTCATCGTTGGTCTAGAATTCGACACACTATTGCCTGACGACCCATTCTTGATTGAAAAAAGTTGCCTGTTTCTGCAGTGTACCTCTGATGACGATAAACAAAAAAGGTTTGTGTGATTCAATAACTTAGATGAATTAACGTTTGCGACTGGTAAGGTTCATCATTATCCTAAGATTGTTTTGATTACCCGCCGTTAGAAAATTCAAAGTGATCTGAACAGCGTTGCAGCTCTTTGAATTTCCTGCGTTTTGAAGGGTTGGCAGACCCCTTTCAAGTCTTGGATTTGTTCTCTAAATTCCGCAACAATCTACTACGATACATACAGTATACAGCACATTACAAAATGAATCACATTCAACAATTATTTCTATTACTGAGTTATGAGGGTCAGTATATGATATTATAACTTATGCATCTTTTTTTTTGCAAAGATTTCGTCACTTTGAAATCCAAATAAAAACATCATTGACCAAAGTCATACGTAAAATCTTTGCAAATTCTAAAATCGAACTTCAAAAAAAGTTGGGGTTTATAGTAGTCGATTCAATACAAAATTTTCAAGTATACTTTTATATGTATATAAAAACCGTCCTCGAATTGCACAAAAAAATCACAAACTTAACAACAGAACAAAAATAAGGTACATAAAAAATCGTAGACGTTCACACATGAACTATATGTATATAAAAAAAGTAATACAAACAAAGAAACTGAAGAATAAATTAAATTACGAAACTACGTTCCAATTTTCCGTCGAAGAAATTCTAAGAAACTATTCTTCACACGTACTGCACGTTCATAACGTAAAAATTCTAACAATCATAGTGACAACTAGAACATTTATGATTATTTGGCTTTCAGTTTGATGATTATAAATAATGAGCTAACTAATGAAGGTGGATGTCAGTCGGTGAATGTTGGTCCTTATTGCACATTGGACGGTGATGTCCAGAGCCCTAACGGCGACAGGGGTAACCGTCAAAACACTGAAACAAGTAAATATATTAGTATTAGACGAACCAGAGCAGTAAAGCGCTGGTTGGTTCTAGACCAAGTCATTGTTGTAATGATTGAACTTTTCTGAACTTTCAACAATGTTGATCCTGAAGGAAAGTGGCGATGACGATTCCCCTTTGAAGGCTCTATTCATGAGGTTGATAAAAGCTCAAATTCTGCTCATCAAAGATACGAGTTTCTTTCAATCACAAAGATTATGTTGCAAGGAGAATCGTCATAACCATGAAATTAATTCAAATCTATTAGATGGGTAGTAGGTGAACTTACGGGGGAAAATGAATAATGTTGTTTGAATAATCATCTCACTATTCATTACCCATATCAACGTTAAATTAAAGTTTGTAATATTGATCAAAATCTGGGGTTTGTTCGAGGAAGAGTGTATTAAATTCCCTGGTTCTGAAGAGATGTATTTATTCAATTCATCATCGGAAACAGAATCTATGTATTTTGATACCTTTTTGGATGTATTGAACTGTCAAATGAAAAAGAAACATTTTCATTTTAGACTTTAAAAATATTAAACGTCGAGAAACATTAGGCATTCCTTAATTATTTTCCTTTAATCACTTCACGTTGTCGGACAGTAAATACTCCCTAATTATTTCTAAGTAACCGCATTACATATAATAACAGACACTTCTCGTTCATGAAAAATGAGAAGTAAAACTTTCTTGTTTTTCATGACCCCTTGTAACTATTTCCATTTTATGAGCCCCTAACATCAACCATTGACATATTTGGTTCATGTCATCAAACACTAGTCACTTTCAAATTATTTTTACGTCAGTGAAACATTAACCACCCTTGAATTATTTTTTTGGCGGAGCATCAATCAATCACGTCAGCAGATCAGTATCCACTCCTAAATTATGTTCACATCAGTGAAAAATTGTTATTCCAAAATTATGTTCACACTGGCGAATCATTAGTCACTCTCAAATGAAGTTAACGTCGAAGGATTTTTAGCTACTCCCAAATTATATTCACATCGGCGAACATTGAATACTCCCAAATGGAGTTCACATTGGATGATCATTACCTTCAAAAATATTCATGTGGGATCCTAAGTCATTTCGAAACTATGTTCACGTCGGTGGGCCAATATCCACTGCCAAATATATTTCATATTGGCATATCAGTAGCCACTTCCAAATTATAACCACGTCGGCGTACCATCAGCCACTCCAAAATGATAAGCACGTCTCGGCGGATCATTAGTCACTCCAAATTATAATCACGTCGGCGTACCAGCTGTCACTCCCAAATTATAATCACGTCTCGGCGTACGTCAGCCACTCCAAAATTATAATCACGGCTCGGCTTACCATCAGTCACTCCCAAATTATAATCACGTCACGCCTCGGCGGACCATCAGCCACTCCCAAATCATAATCACGTCTCGGCGTACATTCAGCCACTCCCAAATTATAATCACGGCACGCCTCGGTGGATCATCAGTCACTCCCAAATTATAATCACGTCACGCCTCGGCGGATTATCAGTCACTCCCTTTATAATCACGTCTCGGCGGGTCATTAGTCACTCCCAAATTATAATCACGTCACGCCTCGGCGGATTATCAGTCACTCCCAATTTATAATCACGTCTCGGCGGGTCATTAGTCACTCCCAAATTATAATCACGGCACGCCTCGGCGGATCATCAGTCACTACCAAATTATAATAACGTCTCGGCGTACCATCAGCCACTCCCAAATTATAATAACGTCTCGGCGGATCATTAGTCACTCCCAAATTATAATCACGTCTCGGCGTTCCATCAGCCACTCCCAAATTATAATAACGTCTCGGCGGATCATTAGTCACTCCCAAATTATAATCACGTCTCGGCGTTCCATCAGCCACTCCCAAATTATAATAACGTCTCGGCGGATCATTAGTCACTCCCAAATTATAATCACGTCTCGGCGTACCATCAGCCACTCCCAAATTATAATAACGTCTCGGCGGATCATCAGTCACTCCTAACTCATAATAACGTCTCGGCGGATCATCAGTCACTTCTAAATTATAATCACGTCTCGGCGTACCATCAGTCACTACCAAATTATAATAATGTCTCGGCGGATCATCAGTCACTTCCAAATTATAATCACGTCTCGGCGTACCATCAGCCACTCCCAAATTATTAATAACGTCTCGGCGGATCATCAGTCACTTCCAAATTATAATCACGTCTCGGCGTACCATCAGTCACTACCAAATTATAATAATGTCTCGGCGGATCATCAGTCACTCCTAACTCATAATAACGTCTCGGCGGATCATCAGTCACTCCCAAATTATAATAACGTCTCGGCGGATCATTAGTCACTCCCAAATTATAATCACGTCTCTGCGTACCACCAGTCACTCGAAAATTATAATCACGTCTCAGCGGATCATCAGTCAATCCCAAATTAAAATCACGTCTCGGCGTATCATTGTAACTTTGGGAATGACTGATGGTCTGCCGACGTGAAAATGATTTGAGTCGTTAATGGTTCATCGACGTGCACCTAATTTGGAAGTGGCTACGGTCACTGACATGAAAACAATTAGAGAGAGTAATGTTGATGTTATGCCGACGTGAAAATAATTACCGCATAGCCAGTGTGCCGGGGAGTGCATATTATTATGAGAGTGACTAATGTTGTGGTGGAGCGATAATTTGGGAGTGACTAATGTTTAACATGAACATAATTTTGGGAGTGGCTAATGTGGTGACGTAAAAATAATTTGAAAGTGTCTAACATTCTGGTGACTAGTTGAAGGGTAAAAAAGACAAATTTCAAAAATACAATAAATATATTTTCACGTAGTCCACTGTGAAACTAAAAAGATTTCAAAAAATATCATACCCACCAGAGTGCCCAACAGTCAGGACTTCGATTGGCAGTGATCCCCTTCGCCGAACCAGCAGCGCTTCAGGATTCTCAGGTCTCCGATGTAGCAAAAGTCGTGAAATGACTTCAGAATGCGATTCCGGAAGAAAGACGGTCTCGGGCCCGCCCGAGCTGCGTCTCCTCAGTTGTTTTTTTCTGCGGCTCGACTTGCCGTTCAGGCTGGTGTGCCTTGTCAGCTGGTCGCGTCTTTCGCCCCCGCCGGATATTGGCGGCAGAGCCATCGGAGCCGAACCGCGACGCTGGTACTGCCAAAACGACTTGGTGGTTTCTACCGGTGTGATGAGAGGCTGGTTCATGAGATTTTCGTCATCGATGGGATCTGCGAAAGTGCATTTGAGGAATGGGAAAGTCTCACTCAGTAGTAATACTTACGGTAGTGAGCAATTTCGATTGGCACTGATCCTCTGCGCAAGGACTGTGCGTCCGAAGGAATCAACCCCCCGCCCGCGGGAGGAATCTTCTCTTCTGGTTTCGATACGGGAAGTGTGACTGGTGCAGATCCTCTCCTTCTTGCCAGACTCTAAAACAACAAAATGTGCTGATAAAAGAAAAAGAATATTTCGAAATAAAATCTCCGAACATTCGTCTCGTACACCTATACCGTCAGTTCTGGTAAATGACTGCCGGAAAACAACAAACTACTTCCCTGGTTAATACTACACTGTAATTAAATTATATCAGATAGATATCTCATAGAGGTTATTCTTGCAGATGTTTCTCGTTCATCCAGCAGCAGGATTATGCGAAAATCGGTCGAGTAGATCACCGATATATTGGTTTCAAGGTATTACTCTCATCAGTGCCGAAAAGATCCGACCGAAACTGAAGTGTGCCTGGGACTCGATTAATTTCAACTCGACTCGACTGCATGTATGAAGCCTACGCCTAAGAGAAAGATTGTTAACTAGCAACAGCTCCATCTTGTGAACAAAGCCCCAAGCGGGGCAGAAACATCTTATATCTATCAATTCTCTAACAGAAATCAAAATAAATTTGAAGACTGTATCGATGAAAAATACATACATATAAGATAATAAATATTGCGAAATGAAATATCGAAACATCCCAAAGTACCTTCACTGTAAGTTCAGGTACATTTATGCAAGATACTCCACAGATGTTAGTTAGTTATACTATGTGGTTAGTCTGAGAGGTTAGTTAGACTGTGGTTAGTCTAACTAAGATTAGTTAGTTGGACTACAGGGTTTTATATTCCCATCAATTCCTAACTGATCTATATAGAGTCCTCCATTACAATCATTATCCAAATTACGAAAAATTACAATACCCAAATGGGTAAATTTTTGTAGTATTCTGAACTTCTGGTGAACTTACCGTGGTGGGTACTCTCCTGGGATCAACATTTTCTTTCTCGTAGCGCTGCCCGGGCTCGGACAGCTTAACCATCTTGGCGTTTTTGTCTTTGTCATTGGATTCGGTTTCTCTCTTGTTACTCCCGAGGGAAGATTTTTGTGGCGGCGACGTCGAAGGTGACGCCTCCGTAAGCAGCATGTCCGGGGGGCGGCTGTTGTTCGGACTCAATACCGCTATGGAAGGTATCGTATAGTGGGGGATGCTATTCGAGTTTGATATGTTTTCTTGTGAGCCGTGGGAAGAATTTGATCTACTGTCTCCTACAAAAAAAATGGTTATAGTATTAGTGGAAACCATAAGGCAATACAAATTTAGTGCAATTTTTGAAAAAAACACGAGGGATAGAAGACAAACCAAAACGATGGCCTTCAGTATCAATAACTTATAATGTACACCTCCCACATTGTCATCGAAATGTATCAACTGGATAGTTTTTTGGACCGACAGTTTTCTTACTAAGAAAAAATTGAAGTAGTAATCACATATAGGATAAAATTTCAGTATGTGATGGAATCAGCAGATACTTGATTAAACTCCAAACATAGTCAAGAAACACTTCATTCTGAGATTTTCGCTTAAAAGTTTTAAACAAACAGAACATGTGTTTTGCTATATAATAGCTCCTTTAGGCGTGTCTATAGTCACGCCCAATAGTTTTGTTCGTTTTTATGAGTCCACTTCGAACTGTAATATCTCAAAATAAGCGCCATTTGAATCAATGCACTTTTGTCAACGTTACACAAGTCGATTAATTCCGTCAGCACAAAAATTGTGGGCTCGGGATTCGATGAAGTACCAGGCCGTTTTTGCCTGGTACTGGCGAAGGTTCAGTAATAAGCTGAAAAGACGCAGAAAATTCTTTTTTGAGGTGTGGAGCTACAAAAACATATGACGTTAAAACGGACAAAAGTTTTGAAACAACCTATAAAAAATAAGAAAAACCATTCAAATCAAGTCCACGCTATGAATTGGAAAATCTACAAAACTAAATCTATTTCAATTCCGACTAACCTTCATGTGGAGTTTCAGGGCAAGTGCTCATCTCAGCTGTCGCTGACATGTACCTCATTCTCACGTACGGTTGGGGAGGAGGGAAAGTCTGCTGCCGAGTGAGACACTTAGTCTGCGGAGTGGGACCGCCTTGTAACACAGACGTGAGTCTTCCGACTGCAGCGCTACTTGTCATGGAAGCTATGCTGGGCTCAGGCAATAGATTTTCAGCGCTCAAAGGCCTCTCTGGATTATCCTCTGTGGAAATTGCGAAAAGAAATTGCAGTGTTTCAATAATGTGCATGCATACTTATTCCATGTGAAGTTGAAAGACAGGTTATTGTGGCAAAGCCAATAGTCAAATAAAATCAAATAGTACATCTGAATTATCACTCTTTATCTTCCCCCTCAAATTAATAGTTGAATGTGGCGTTCACCGAAACGGGGCGTGGTCAAACTTGACGTCACATCAGCCGATTCTGATTCGGCGACAAGGGAGTGCTGGTGGATAAGTGAAATACATACGTGTACTGAAGCCGTAGAGAGTAAGTTGTGTGTTGTTTACTGCAGTGTATCAACTGCGTTAATATGTAACACGTGGTGTTTTCCAACCAGCCAGCAAATGAAACAAAATCCGACGATGGCAGCGATTCATAATCTCCAACTACAGGCCCGGTTGCCACCGCTCCAAGCTCGTTGCCTGGTGTGACGACAGGATGTACCGCGTGCGATATCACATTTTCAATTGCTCTTGCTCAGTTGTTAACTGACATAAAAACCGAAAAATTTTGTGGGATACTTGGGAGGTGATTTACTTTTATATTACCTATAGAATTTTCAATAAAAAACTAAATCAGCCTGAATGAGCCCATTTTTGGTTTTGTTGGCCGTAGTCTGCAGGTGTTTACATGTGACGTTTCATCTATAACTGCGGTAGATATGGTCAAAGGTGTTGAGGCAAAGAACAAGGAGCTCACAACAGATAATACATCAATATTTGTTTGATTCCATTCTTGGTGGGCATGAGACAAATTTATGTATATCAAAACAGTAGTAGGACTGAATTTACGTTTGGAATGATGAAGAGCTCTTTAGGGAATAATGATGTCATAACCTTTCGGTATAATCTGACACAAGGGACTTATACTTTTTTATTGGCCATTTTTACTTACTTGAAGTTTTCTATGGATAATTAGTTTTGTATTGCAGTTAAAATAAAGGTCATTGACAGATTTGGCTGAAAAGAAAAACTGAGGTAGTTGATTTAAGGACACTGATTCCAGCTGAACTTGTAATTAACTCATCTATTGAGACACAGAATTGTCTTCAATTTATTTTTCATGAATTACTAGAAAGTAACTTACTCTTACCGACGTTTGAATCATATCAACGTCAATTCAATTTATGTCTTTAAAACAGTAATGAAAAATATTTCAAAGTATAGATAAAAATGAGTATCCACATTCTTTTGTTCAAGAGATTCCACCCAGAAAGCAACTTATTCAATTTTGTGAACTTTCAATATGAATATTACTGGAGTTTAGTCCCAACACCAAAGTGTTATTTTTAAACACCTCGACTTGTGTTTCTATCACCAAGTGATCATCTTCAAGAGGAAGATTAAACTACACGAGTTAGTTTAATCTTCCTCTTGAAGATGCATTAATACTTTTCAGTTTTTTCAGTCTTGACCCCGGAAATGTTGAAAAACATATATTTGAAAAGAATATCCACTTATTGATTATTCTATTTTTCAATAACTCATGGAATGATTGTTTTTTTCAGATAAACTTGAAGATCTCTTTGAAGAAGTGGATCAACTGGAAAACTGAATGGAGGCAATATTCAATATATAGGACACAGAAGAGATTGAATAATAGTGCTTCAAATTGTCTATCTTGAATTTTGACAAAATTTATGGAATACCATAGAACAGGCGTCAAAGTTTGAAATAATTTTCACAAGTAAGGAAAAACTCACCGGAAGAATGATGAGGGCTGCTGGATGATATCTCAGACGACTGGGAGGCATACCGTAGCAGTTCGTCTTCTTCCCTAAGGCCACTGGAAGCTCTGGATTCAGTCTGAGGGCTGACTGGCGTTCGGCTGAATGTGATACCCCTGCCAGTAGGCAGACTTTCTCTCCTGTAAATCGTCCTTGGCAGTGACTGCTCCATATTGACTGGCACAGAGTGTCTTCTTACGCCCAAAGATTCTAGCGTCGGCACCGCTAGTGATTGTCTTCTCATTTCCCTGTAATAGTAAAGTATTTAATGACAATAAGAAGTTATATCCCCTGAATTTCCATAGAATATCGTATGGTTTACATGCCTTGGTGGAGATGGTATAAAATCTTGTATGCTGGGTGTCTCCAAGGAACGTTTCGCAGGTTCATCTTCGTCACTTCCCTCGACTTCAGCGTCCGATAACTCCGTTTGAGTTTCTTCAGCCTGTTCCGCGTTTTCTTGAGCTTCCCATCGCTTCCTGTTTTCCTCCAGAACTCTCATCATGTACGTCGACAGGGTGCTCTTCAAAAACCTGTGCCATTCGGAGAATAGCGGCGTGACGACAAATTTGAAAAATCCTGGAAGTGAAAGCAAAATGTTGAATACACATATTTTTGAGAAATAAATAAATTACAAGCATAGCCATCTTTATTATTACTAACATTGGAGTCCACTAATATCACGTTAGATAATAGGCCACAAAAAATTTTCGATTTAGGTCTATATATATTACATCGCAGCTGAATTGTGAGTTAAGTATCAATGAAAAAACAGAGTGTATGTGTGTACTTATGTAGGCACGTAAGAAGTTATACTTGGTTTTTTAAAATTATGTGTCGCTGTGATTTATTCAACTATTGATTTAATTTTATTCATGTTTTCCAAATATTTATTGAAATTTATTTTGATACTATCGCCATGTTGTATGGGACAACCTGGCGTTAATTTTTATTACTTAAAATTTCAAGATTACTTTGAGAAAGAAACATTTAATTCAATTTAATACCTATTTGGAATAATTTAATTTTCCCTAAAATTCTACAGACGTACTCAAAGTAAAAATACCTTTTTTCACTTATAATCACAGTAAATTATCTTTAAATCAATAAATTGTTGATAATTATCAGTCACCACTATGTATTATTTGAAAAAATACATATTTATGTATATATATATATATATATATATTTTATTCGTACTGATACAAATCACTCCAGGGACTTCCTCTACGATCGCACCAGAGGATGGTTGTGCCGATAACGACCGTCCTCAAAGATCGTACGTGGATATCGTGGTCAGAGTGGAGTCCAAAAGTGGTGTGTTTTTCGAAAAATTAAGTCAAGTTCGAATAAATATTAAACCAAAAGACATTTTGAGTGAAGTGGCGGCACCATACGCCAGTAACCAGGCAGGATGTCGACGAATTCGACGAGGTCGTCAGTGCGATAATAGATGTGTTATTTGTGAAAGTCATATTGAGACGACTGGAGGCCCCCTACCAGAAAAATGAAGTATTTTTATAAAAGATGCGCAGTAGATCAGCCGGCGGAGTGAGGCGAGAGCTCATGAACATCGAGGAACTCGTGTAGTGAACAACGTGTTGGTACAGTAAGTGGGAAAATTAGTCTGTGAGGTGAACTGTGAGTTATTTGTTGTCTTGGAAAATGCTTTCAGTGATCTGAAAAACAGGGTTCTCAGTGGACAAAGCAGAGAAATTGTCAACAACGTATTAGGATTAATGCAAACGGAATAGCAATGGTATATGTCTAATTATAAACACTTGCTGCATTCTTTTTCCGATGGTAATGTGCAGTTACCATCTCTCATTTCATTTCAGAGGCACAGCTATATTTGCTAAGCTGCAGAAGATTCATTCAAAATAAGTAAAATACAAAACAATTCATGAGAACTCACCGACTTGAATTTTAGCAACGGACGTCGACTGCTGGTCGCAAATGGAAGTGACTGGAAGATTGAGTTTTCTCTCGTACTCCCCTTGCCTGAAGAATTCGTCACACACCTTGATACTCCATTTGTGTGAGATTTCCCACGGCCGCGTCGGATTCGATATATCGGCGCATTTTAGCGCGATCTGCATGATAAACTGTCTATGTTCGGGCTGCCTTAAATCTAAAGTGCCTTCGTCTAAGTGTTTCTGAAAACATCAGCACAAATTCAAGTCATTGATGAAGTGTAAATATATAAAAGCTTGGTTCATATATTAGGTCAAGACTATAACAATAACTATACATATAACTGATCTAGTACATTATTAAATGAATGAAACATACATGACACATCAGCAACTGGAACAATATACTGTTGTGGTGAGTCAATTGATGAACAGTGTCTCAGCTTCTATAGTCAGCTGTACATCTTACCAGCAAATAAATACATGCCTTTTCAAATTAATTTATTTTTGATAGTTCTATGTCAGTTCTTCGGCGGGTGGTTCTCCCGGTTACCTTTCTACTTTACAAAGAAAGCAAAATGCACGCTTTTGTGGAAAAAAGGTTGATTTAAAATGATATTTGTTACAAACTTCTTAGAATGCGACACCATCAATGCATATAATTTTTGTTGTGCATCACATTGTCTAAATTGAAAGGGGTATATTTCTGTGGGAGATTAATATTTGAGAAAGAAAGGTTTCGTCTTTTTACATCTCCATCTTTATACAAAAAATTGTGGGAATCTTCCAAAGAAAGGAAGAAAGCAAATAATTCAAAAACAAACCCTTTACAAAGATGTGTAGATCATGCCAAAAAGTAATTGTTTCGAAAGAATTTTTTGTTCCAGTTTGTGCCTGAAGTTTACTCCTTTGCATAATCTACACATCTTTGTATAGAGTTCATTTTGAAGTTAATTGCCTTTTCTCTTTGGAAAATTCCCACATTTTTGGGAGGGTTAAACCGCTTCGTAACCTAACGCGAAACGGTGCCAGTTTGTCTGGGTTTCCTTTCTCTTACGCATACGTCAGAGGAAGGCAGGCTCCTCCTCTTTCGCCGGTCAGACGATCAGTGTTTAGTGTGCGTTAGACATGTTCTGCTGACAGTATTATAAAAATATAACCAGCAATCACGTACAAAGTGGCTTGAAAATGATGATGGTAATTTTGTGTACATACATACATTGGAAATGAGGTCTAAACCTTCAATGAAATGTATCACCAGGACATGACTAAGACGCGAAACGCGCGTCGAGAGACAGTATTTTTATTCTGGAATTGTTTTCAACAGATCAAGTTGGTAAGAAAAAGGAATGAAGAAGTTGTTGCCCACTTTTTCTATGAAATCTACATTATTCTCAGTATTTAATAATTCAACCAGCAGTAGGTACAACTGAAATTAATGGATTGGAATTAGTATAATGGTTTTCAGAAAGTCAGAAATACCCATTGGCTAATCAATTGAGTACAGCTTGTCCAATGTAGGAAGAGACTTGAAAATTCTCTCTCTCTCTCTCTCTCTCTCTCATAATCTTCTAATGAACGCACATTTAGTGGGTGGGACCATAACGGAATTCAGAAAGCTCTTCCTACATTTGGTAAGCTTTAATTCTAAAACGAAAATAGGCACGTTCCTAACCATTCTAGCACAACAGTTTCTATCTTTTATGTTTGTAATAGTTGCCAGCAACATTGAAATTATTCATGTGACTACCGGGATCTAGGAAAACATCGGAACTTACTTTGAATTTTGTCAGGAATTCTTGCTGCCTATTAATATCCGTTGCTAAAATGAGATCACGTATTTGTTGTTCCAGATCAGTCCGATAAGGCCTCAATTGCTCGGCCATTCCGCTCTCCAACAGACAACCGATCGCCGATCGCCAGTGATGATTTTCTAATACCGACTTATTCTGTGGAAATAATTGAAAATTGGTGTTTGTTGATTTTTGAGATTGTTTTGAGTTTCTCAACATTTCGCTCTGAGATTATATCTACATTACTCTGATTGGAAACTCTGGCACATCAATTTGCTTAATCGCTATCTACCGCAGTTGCAAATTCGTAAAATAACTCAGATAGATGGAGAAAAAAAACGTTTCTTGAAGGTTGTGAAATCCAGACTCTTTCTATAATTTTTCGATTCTTGCAATTCAACATTCACTTGTTTGAATTATCTGCTATCGTGACCAAGAATTGGGTTTGTTTCACTTGATAGCCAAATACAATGTTTTGGCTTTTCCGACCTGAATATTTGAAACAACAAACTTCAGTGTCAACACAAAATGAATGACATGAAGGTCAATGAATTTATATGTATTCAATGTTTCAAGTTCGGAAAATTCATATACAAAGTTTATAATCGGGTTAGAAGTCCTCAGTAAGTTTGAAATAAATTATTTGAGATGATGTATTTTGCAATTTCCTAAAGGAATCCATCTATATTTCTATTTACTTTCACTGGATGTTTTCAAAAGGATTTTTGAAAGGAATGTTTGGTCCTTAGAGCCGGATAATATCACCGGAACCCACTTTTTTCTCTTCCAAAGTACGAATTTGCTGAAGAAGCAAAGAAGTATACACATTCATAACTAAAAAGGAACTTTTTTGAAGTATTTTGATCAATTGCCGACATATAAACATGCAATATTTTAATTTCCATTACCGATATCACCTTGTGTGAAAGAATATCAGTGGAATATTAGAATATATTGAATAGAACGGTTAAGAAGAGGTAAAAAAGAAAATGATTTTTTTTTAGTAACTCAATATTTTGGACAAATTTTCTTGTGACTTGCATTCGCGTATGAATATAAGCTATCAATCAAAAAAATCTAGTCTAGTCTAGTTGGGAAACACTATTTATTAATGAATAATTCACATAAAAAGCAGTTCATCCTCCACAAAAAACGATTTTAAAACAGTACTTGGAGTATATTTACATTTTCTCAACTGGCGCAATAAAAATTCTTCGGTGCAAATTTATGTTTTATACAATTCACCAGCGTTTATTTTTCCAACGCCTTAATGAAAGTTTCAACAGCTAATGATGTTGAATTATGGTTATTCAGTCCGTAAATACTCACTTGATACAAAATGGCAAGATGATTGGAAGTGGATATGAGAAAATGTTGATTCACGCCCGGATGATCCAAATCGTGAGCAACGGCACCGATGAGAGCGGCCATAACTTCTAAGGGTGTAACGTGTTGTCTGATCTACAAAAAACGTGAACGATAATGAATTATATTGTCATATAAAACCTTCAAATTAGTTACTTCTTCACAAATAATTCAAACAATCTTTGAGCTTAGTTTCGATATACCTGAGAATATCTATTAATTTGAATAATAATGATTAAAATAATTTTAAGTGATTATACTGTATCAACATCATTGTTTTGAAATTTAGGTATACATATAATTACTATTCTTTTGCGACTTGCCATATACAAGCTTTGTATCAACAGTGATCAATGAATATTATTATTATATGACTGAGTAGTATTGTATGAATCATGTTATACAGGCTGATTCACGGTGGATGGCACATTAGACGTTTCTGGTGAACCAGACAACGGATCATTTTGGGAATTTAATGGAGGGCATATTCGGACATTCTCTAGCCAACTGAAATATTTTCGACAATGCGGTGTTGCCGCTTCTATTAGAAAGCAGTAGCAACTTTGATTTTTCAATATGAAATGTATCCGAATCTACCGCCAATGAACCTCAAGAAATTTATACGAATTCAGAACAATTTCAATGCATTTGGATCAACTTTGTGAGGTGCAATAGCTATATTATTTCTTTCTACTACTCCTTCTTTATACAGAGATAAGAATGCATGAATCTTTCAAAGAAAGGAAGAAAGCAATACATTTCATAATAAATTGTTCACAAAGAAGTAACTTTCAGACACAAAAAGCCCTCTTCAAACAATTACTTTCATATACATATACAGTGAATTATACAAAAAACTATTTTTCCGAACATTCATATGGAATTGAATCAGATATCATTCACAGGATTGCTAAACAATATGGTGTATAAAAAATATAGTATTTCATCTACATGGAACAATGTCATTCATTCATGACAGTACATAATGACATTCATTCCCAGCTATAGGAATCTTGTTCAAAATGAAAGGGGTATATTTCTTGGAGAGATCAATACGACATAAAGTCGTAATTTTATGAATTAATCCAGTGCTTTATATAGTCATTTTACCCAGATTGGCGCCGAAGAGACAATAATGCAAATATCTTATTCCGAAACATCGAATGTACGCCATTGAGGATAACAGGATGTACAATAGAAACAGTATCTGAAGATGTTGATGCAGAACTGGTCTCTATAAATGGTTTTCCACAAAGAAAAGTTTTGGTATGCCTTAAACCACGTCAAAAAATCATAATCTAATCCATGTTATACGGTGCAGAAAATTGTATTGCTAATATTAATTTTTGCATTGCACAGGAATTCAAAGAGGCTACTCTGAGGTTCCTCTGATGTTAGGCAACCATTAGTAGATATAATAAGTTCGTACGGTGGCCGCATGCGCACTGTCGATTTGACATTCAACGTGTAGAAGAGAGGGCAGCACCTGACGTATGAGTTTTGAGAGAGCGCCTCTAGCGCTGACTTAGAGGAAGCTGACCCGTTTCAAATATAAAAAACGAGTGTAACTAGTGTTCAAAGAAACCCAACACGACGCACCATACTAGGTGAACGACAACAACAACAAACGTCATCTGAATCATTTAAAACGCGTTTTTTTAAATAAATTATCATGTGTGAGACATCGGGCATGTACCCCAGTGCTATTTCATCAAAATAATGCACCGTGTCACAAATCAAAGAAAATGATGGCAAAATTGCATGAGTTGGGCTTCAAATTGCTTCCACATCTACCGTATTTTCCAGATCTGGCCCCCAGTGATTTTCTCCTGTTCTCAAACCTCAATAGAATGCTCGCTGGGAAGAAATTTAGCGTCAATGAAGAGGTAATCTTCGAAACTGAGGCCTATTTCGAGGCCTATTATGCTATAAAAATGGTATCAACAAATTATATGACCGCTATAATCGTTGCATCCCCCTCGTAGGCAACTTTATTGAATAATCAAATCAAATTTTACCAAAAAGTTTTTTCTATGTTGTCTAACAAACTTTTCAGCCCAACTGAGATCATAATTTGATTTGACCATCATTAAATTGTAAAACTAAAACGTAATTACCTTATCTTCTTGTAAAAAACAGTGCATTGCTTGAGTTACATCAGTCGCATGAATGGAATTGTGATAAGGATTCGTACTGTGGTACCCTTCTTCTATAAGAGCTGAAACAAATACATAAAACTGAAATATTAAACAGAAAACTAATGTTTCAGTTAATATAAAACATATTTTACAATCATTTTCATACAATTGTTGTTGTTTAACATGGTTATCAAATTTAAGATTTTTGTCTATCAGCACACCTAGGAATTGAGTACGATCTTTATTTCCAATTACATCTTTGCCAAACACACGTTCACCAATCGAGCATCTGAAGGGTAATACGTGTGTTTTTTCTGTGTTGAAAGATAATTTGTTCGCATCGCACCACTCTTACAATTTTCAAGTCTGTAGATATTATATCATGTAATTTCCATAGTAGCTTTCCATAGTATAGTGCTATCATCTCCAAAGAGCGTGAATTTACCAGATATCATGACTTCAGTGAGGTTGTTGACATATAATAGGAAAAGAATGAGGCCGAGCACAGATCCTTGGGGAACTTCTGACGATATTTTCCTCCAATTCGAAAGTTCCGCAGTTTTAACCATCTGATATCGTCCTGAGAGATATGAATCGAACCATGTGAGAGTCTAACCTCGGCATCCATACAGTAGAGGTTTGCTTAGCGGTATCTTGTGATGAACACAGTCAAATGCCTTTATTAGATCACATAACACTGCTGTTGATGTCTCTCCTTTTAACGTGCGATTCCTGGCACGGGTTGGAGGAACAGCAGTGGAAATCGACCGTCCGACCTCTCGGCTCGAACCATTGTTTCACCTGACAAATCATTCGCGTTTTAGTACATGATTAATTGTGAAAAGGGGGTACTAAATAGTTCAGATCTTTCAACGATTGTTTGATCATTTTTGTTTTCTAAGAATAGTATATGAGTAACGCACTTACTAAAGAGTTTCCACACTTGTACGACATCTAGCTGGAAGTAGTCCAATAAGCCGTACCAGTGGAATAGATGAACACATAGAACGGGCAGTGATCTTCCACCGGCAACGGTTTCTAGAGTAAAGGCGTTGAATGCCCATTTGCCACAACGGTCTAGAATTTTCTGAAAAAAAAAACAAATAAGACTAAATAATAGTTGGTCAAACCATTTTCTGTAATAAACGCCCTGAGAGGTAGAACTGCCTACATCTGAACTGGGTAATGGATATTTTCGAGAAATCAAGTGATTTTTATCCTAGAAGTAATATATTGTAATTGATTTTTTCAAAATATACATGTTTTACCAGAATTAATCATTTATCTAATCAAGTTTTCTAATAACCTACTGTTGTACAAAAGACATTGTAGAATAGTTTGACTTTCCACTCCAACTGATGAAGTTACTCTATAACGAAACGCATTCCTAATAAAATTTTCTTCTGAGAATTGTATAGTTATTTTCATGGATATGTTAATTTGACATACATAATTTTCTACTACATATGGTCTCTTGAATAGGCATGATTACATATTTTGAAATAATGTTCTATCCTGTTGGGAAATATATTATAATTACAAAGTATATCATATTTCAAATCATCTAAAGCAAGAAATCATTCAGGCTACTCTCAACTCTCTACACTGTAGGTCAGGGGTCTCCAAACTACGGCCCGCGGGCCAAATCCGGCCCGCCAGTGTCATCAATCCGGCCCGCGACAGTCAATGATTTACTGTCATCAATCTGGCCCGCGACAGCCAATGATTACCTAATTGTTGTTACTATTGCTGTGATAAGTCGAAGAAGAAAACACAGAATGATAATTACTCGGTTTTATTTACTTGCAAGGTAAAACTTAACGACAGAAATGATGACAAAGAAAACTTAACTGAAGTATCTAAGTTTAAGCATATTAATAACCAACAAATAATTGAAATGAATCACAGTAAAACAAAAACACTAATGAGATTTATGTAATTGTGATTTTCCACCGACAATACTTTGTAGTTGTGGATCAATTTTACTTGTACCAATTATCAAAAGAGATTTAAGATGCTCATCGGTTAATTGAGATCTGTAAACATTCTTTGTGTACTTCATCTTGGAAAACGTTTTCTCACACAAATAAGTAGTACCAAAAACAGAAAACAACCCACGAGCAAATTTATGCAAATTATCAAATTGTTCCAGTGAAAAGACTCTTATAAAATTCCAACAAAGATGAATTTTGATATTTGTTCTTAAGCATATCACTGCACCGTAAATCAATAATTTCCATTTGGACTTCCGGAGCCAGGGTTTCAATGTCAGAATCAAAAGGATTTTGAAAAAGCTTAATTTCATTCGCAATGACATCAAAATCTGAAAAACGAGTATCAAAATTTATCTTCAAAGCACTCAAAGTTTCGATTGCAAAATTGACGGGAAATTCACTCTCTGTAGTGTGGCTGAATATTTCACATGTTTCAAAATGTGTGAAACATTTTTTACGTAATTGCGATTGAAATAGTATTATTTTCTGCCTGAAGGATTTGATATTGGTGTATAAATCAGGGAGAAGCTGATTTTCTCGTTGCAATCTCAAATTCAGTTCGTTCATATGATTTGTCAAATCGACATAGAAGGCCAAGTTCCACATCCATTCACTATTTTCTAAATCGGCAAAAGGGCGCTGCTTCTCATTTAAAAAAATTTCGATCTCTGCTCGAAGTTCAAAAAAGCGCTTAAGGACTTTTCCGCAACTAAGCCAGCGTACGGCAGTATGATATGGTAAATCATTTTCTCCAATCTGTTGAATAAACTCTCGGAATTGTCGGTGATTCAGCCTAGTGGATCTGATGAAGTTAACAACTGATATGAGTGGTTTTAGAACTTCAGACATATCCGCATTTTCCGCACAAGGACTGTTGATGAATGATACAATGTAAGACTAATGGTTTTGAACCACCATCATTTTCTACAGCCTTTGACACAAGTGCAACTACTCCTTTATTTTTACCATACATATTTTTGCCTCCACCAGTTGTTATAGATTTCAAATTTCTCCATCGAAGGTTCTTTTTATTAATGGCATTTTCAACTCCCTTAAAAATATCTGCCCCAATTGTCGTGCCGTGAATACTATCAATATCAAGAAGTTCTTCATACACTTCATAGCTTTTATCTACTCCGCGAATAAAAATCAACACCTGAGCAGTATCTGACACATCCGTTGACTCATCCAATGCTAGAGAAAACCTCTCATGATGTCCATTTTTGTCAGACAGTTGAGATGATATATTTTCTGCGATGTCTTGCACCCTCTGAGCCACGGTGTTTGCTGACAAACTGACACTTAAATAAATTCACCTTTTCGGGGCATATTTCTTCGGCTACTGCAATCAGGCATTCTTTTATCATTTCACCATCGGTGAATGGTTTGCCACGTTTTCCGATTTCAAGAACCACACGAAAGCTGGCGCGAGTTGCAGACTCTTGTTCAGTATTCGCTTTGTTAAACAAAGATTGCTGCGATTTGAGTCCGCGTTTCAAAGCTTCAAATTTTTCCTTCCGCAAACTTCCTGTATACTTGGAGTAACTTTGAAGATGTTTCGATTCATAGTGTCGTTTAATGTTGTCTTTGAGAACAGCTATGGTTTCATTACAAATTAAACATAGCGCCTTATTACTGGACTCAATCACAAAATACTCAAAGTTCCATTTTTCTTGGGACGTTCTGCATTCACTGTCGATTTTTCACTTCCTTTCCATACTAACGAATCACACATAAAAACAATAAGTCAAATCAAAATTCTTTTATTGACGGGTGTTACTTTATTTCACAATAGACAGTTTCGCTTCCTTCGCCTTTCCTACGCAGACTAACTCGCAGTTGCGCCGCTAGCCTTTTTATATGCAATTATTACTGCTATCTCGAGGTGATCGGAATACACTAGCTAGAACCAGAACTTCCTCGAACCAACGCGATAATTCCAAATATTTAATTACGCCTAATGCCACCTAGCGAGTAGCTGAAAAAGATAGTACATAGTACCACTACTCGCCACTAGATGTCGTTAAGTGTCACAATACACAATAATAATTGAAATGCAAAAAAAGCGTAAGTTTGCTTAGGTCACGCACTTTGCGACTATCCTAGTCTAGAAATATAGTTAAGGGCAGAAATTGGCCCTTGGAACAAACTGAAAAAATCATTATGGCCCGAAGGCTTCAAAGTTTGGAGACCCCTGCTGTAGGTCAATGGACTGACACCCATCAGAAAACAACTACTCCCCTGGCTAATACCACGAAGGGCGTATTAGCCAGGGGAAGTTATCCCTGCATATGCTGTTGGCGATACAACTGCCGCAATAGTTTTTCAATTATTGGAACACACTTACAGACCGGTTTCAGGCTGTTTGGCCACTCGTCAGTGCAAGGTAGTATCTATCATCAACATGAAGTCAATGATTTCCTATAATTGAAAATCTAATTTTTTCAGAGTATCATTCCTCGAACTAAGCTGAAGCATACAACAAACAACAGGTTTGTCGTCGCCCCATCTGCGTGTGAACGAGGTAACCAACCGCATATCCGAAATTTGCCCAATTCCTCGTATAAGAAAAGAAGACATTTCACATATAGTCGGTGGGCATACTTGAAAACTGGCTATAAATCAAATCATCATATTTTCGCAAAAAATACAGTTTAAAATTCGCACCAAAAGTATCATAGCGTCGCATGTGACGTCACGTTCGAGTACACTACATATAAAACTAGAAGCTTTTCTATAAATTTAGTGATAACTGTTATTATATATGAATTCAAAAGTGTATCGGTGATGTGCAGTCCATCAGTGTTCTAAAACGTCAATAAAAACTCCGAACAAGTTATTTGTGTTCGTCCCATACAAGGAAAAAGAAAAAAAGTAGCTCAAACTTGCAACAAGAGATTCAACGAGAATATTGCTCAGTACTCAGCTTATTAAGTAAAAACGTATGAATCAAATTTGTAGAATATGAACTGGTATCATGTTGGTCGAGGATTAAATTATAATGAACAAACTTTTTTGGGGTTAGCTTTTATCTTTCGTATTTTTCATCCTTGTTATGTTACCTTTTAATGTGCACCGATTTCCTTCGCGTTTTACATGTACATCATCGCCGTATGATACCCTGAAGGACCTAAAATAACTAGATCAATGTGTGAGCGTGTGGTAAGTATGTTGTTTAAAAAATATAATTTCAATAGCATATCCTCTAATATTGAACTAACAGTGTCTTTCAAACGCTTTGGACTCATTTTCGTTATATGTTTTCGAAAGATTATTGTTGTACTTATATGGTAGTTTTAACATTTCTGAATTCGGAAGAACAAAAGTCTTTGTATCAGTACTTGACATTTTAAAAATTTTAAACTTCAAAATACCGTATATGTACACATCATAGCCGTTGAAACGTAACTGACCACTCGGACACTGTAGCAATGAATTCCGCCAGCCGATTGCAGTTAAATTTGATTTACCAGCGAAAGGAGGTTTGCTTATTTGTTTGAGTGGTGATCATTGTTAGATCACGCATCTCTCTTTGTTTGGGTTACTTTGTTTGTTGGATGGATATAGTTTAGACACATTACCGCTGTTTGCTTTTGTAAATCATGGTTCCACGGTTCACATCATTTCACTTTTGATTTAACAACACAACTAAGGAAAACAGTCACTGTAAACAATATTAAGTCGTGACGAAAATAAGAAAAAAACCAGTGTCGAGTATTACTCATACTAATCTAAAGAAATGAACTTTAAACTTTCAAGCCAGTCTCGGATATACCTACGCAGTAGGTTGAATGGACTGACGCATATCCGCTGGCTAATACCACGAACGTTTAAAGATCATTTCTTTAGATTTGCTTACTGCCTGTTTTCAAGCATAGACAACTGACTAATAAGAAAATTACTCGTACTGTTGTATTATACAAGATGACATATTCGTTTGTTTACTCTAACGTGACGTAATTCTCTCTGATTGGCGTTTAAGATATAATGGCTTGCCGTATTTTATAGTTAGATTTTACTAAAATATTATCAATATCGCTCACAATAATGGAATACTTGAAGATGCGTCTTTTGAAATCCATCAATGGGATTTTTTGTAGGTGAATACAGCTTTTTGGAGATTTTTACTCACTGTGATCATGCCTATTATGTGTATTGTACATTTTTCTGAATGCTCTGAATAATATGAGACGTCCATTACTACCAAACTGTTCTTACCTGAACCTGGCCATGATGAATGTCATCAAGTATTGCATGATCTTGTACTAAAGATCGAGTAGTGAGTTTTTTGCGCCGCCTCTTGTGCATCGTAAGGAACTTTCCAGAACTGGTCGCAGTCGGACATGATCCCATCGCATCCAACAGGACCCAGTCTTCTTTGGAAAAAAGCTGCGGCAACGATGGCACCTCCACCGGAGCTGAAACAATTGAAATTCAAAATATTAACGGTTTGCAAATATTGCAAAAATAATGGAAGTTGATTGATGGGTCCTTCTACAAACTCCAGTTTGAATTTCTAACGCAAAGTGATTTGTTTTTGTTGGAATACATATTTTCATCAAAAGAATATTGGTCAAACAAGGATAATTTCAAGAACTCGATTTGCTAGAGACAGCTGAGGTGGAAAGTTGCATTTGTGATAATATAAAGTTTGTGTCATTGAAAGTTTCTCTACCCCATTTTTATATAATAATATTAATAATAATAAATCGTTTTTATTTCCTTTCTGTACCTGATATAGGCGAAGTTAAACCTAAGGATATTCTTTCATTTAACCTAAGTTGTACAACTGAATAGTACTTAATATACAATTACAAATGCATTCTTACAAAAATACAAAATATGTACATGAAATAGTGATCTACAGGGTGTTCCTTGAACACATGCTAATATTTAAGGAGGTAATTCTTAGACCCATTTAAAGAAAAAAACTTCACATGGACGTATGTCCTAAACGCCTTAACTTTTGGGATTCAGGGTGGCAAAGTTTTCAAAAATAATCAGTTTTTCAATAATAACTGAGATAATTTTGTAGACATTTTTGGCATATTTGGTACATGTGTTCCATGCCTCAAGGCGCATTTTCTGATGTACACAAATTTGTATTTTTTCAAACAGTGGCATCCCTACGGGTTTCGCATTGAATATTTTTGGGGAAAAATATACAGAGAATTCGTTTTTTATTGCTATGGTGGGTACGCTGTTTTTTCTGCTTTTAATCTTTAAAAGAAATCACATATCGACAAACTCCATATTTCCAAGAGGTGCAGTAAATAAATTCTGCTACACGTGCCATACCGCAAGATCCGTCACCGAGTACCTTAATGAGGTCGGGATTCAAGTTTTAGCATGGCCGGCACGCAGTCCCGATCTCAACCCGATAGAGCACATTTGGGACAACTTAAAAGACGTGTAAGAGGTAGAGTACCAGCCCCTATGGCCCTGGGAGAACTTAAGACGGCTGTGGTAGAAGAGTGGCACAATGTCCCCCAATTGGATATTCAGATTATAGTGGATGGGTTAACAAACCAACTCCAAGAAGTCATAAGGGCTAGAGGCGGCCACACCCATTATTGAACTTTTTTTTACCTTAAGGGTAGTTTACAACATACCCTCTCATGAAATGTGATATAAATTTGACTGTTTCTGAAAATTGATGGAAATACAAGGTGAGCGGTTGATTAATTATGCCTATGAGTATGTATGAAGCAATACAGAGGTAGTCACTGATTGGTTTACAGTTTATTCTTGACGGATAGGAGGACGGCATATACAACTGTTCTGAATATATTGCACATTATCCTTACCACCTGCATGGAAGTAGATTTCACATCTTTCGAGAACTAGAAGCGGATCTACCTTGCACACAACGTCATTTTTTTGTCAACAATGACAATAGATTCAAATGTCAACACCACCGACATCAAACAACGATTAACACTTGTTTTATAATGATGGTTTTCTCACGGTCACGTTTTTACTTTTACATATTGGCCTACTTACCATGCGTATAAAAGGATCGATGAACTGAGGCGTTTCTATTTTTACGTGTTCATTCATATCTTGCTACGACACGATTCAAGATAAACTCATTTCGAATGTTTCGAAGAACGCCGTCATTTTGTCTTGTCAGAATTTTTACATGAAATTACATTGTATGGTAATGCCACCCAATCGTTGAATTAGATTACAGAAAAACACCATTGAGGTTCTGAAAGAAACTGTATCAGGCAACAAGAAGGCCCCTTTTCTTCAAAAATAAAATAATGTTGATGCTCCCTCAGAGTTCACCTATTTTCAACTATTTGAAATTTACAATGAAACAATGAAAAAAAGTTCTCACCAACATAATTATATGTTACTTCCTTTGTATATTAGCTTGGACATTAGATCTCTTATTTGAATCTTAAGGTATCAGCACGTAATTCTCTAAATTTTCCTGTATAACAAGCTCCTTTCATAATGGAGAAATTATAACGCTTATAGTTTTGAACAGTCTTCAACTCAAAGCTATTTTCACTAGGTTGATGAATTTATTGTTTCTACAATTTTCCAACTTCATCCTTGATAATGATTGTATCATTTTCACAATAAATTTTATTTAAAAAGCGTTTCGCTACACGGTTGTTTCATCAGTCACTGGTACATCAAACTATTTTACAATGTCTTTCAGATAACAGTAGTTAACTTATTAGGTAAATGACTGAATCTGGCGAAATAAGTAGATTTAGAAAGCACAAATTAATACAATGTTCAAATTGAAAGGGGTATGTACACTTTTAGGAGAGATTAATTTTTGGGAAAGAAAGGTTTTGGTTTTCCTCTTCTCCATTTTTTACACATTTATACAAAAAAAGGTGAAGAAGTAGAAAGGCGAATGAATGTCATTACGTACTGTCATCAGTAGATTCAACTCAATTGTGACATAAAGTCATAATTTTAAGAATGTAGGTGAAATTTTACCTCTTTCAAACATTATATTGTGTATCAATCTTGTGAGTAATACCTGATTCATTTCTACAACGAATGTTTGGAATACGAACTGAATAGAGATGAGTGTTTTGATGTGAAACATCTATAGCCGCATGTAAAACCGGTTGATAGCGTGGCGATGCATGCCGTGGCGACGATTCTTCATGCGCAAGCGACTGTGCGATTCTCTTCTCACTGGTTTGGTATTATGTTATCTCTCTCGCCACACTAAGCTCGGGATACCTATAGTGTATAAAGTTGTGTTTACTACAGTATACATAACCTGTGTTTTACTGAATAAATAATTTTTGTAAATAATTGAAAATGAAATATGTCTGACAGTGATAATTTAGAAAGTGGAAGTAAGCAGCCTCCTACAAAGAAAGCAAAATCACACTACGACACACTATCAACTAATTTTTTATATTTCATGAGTGTGCATTAGACCCGCGTATATTTGGTCTTTCTCAAGGGTCAGTAAATGTTTTTAAATTAATTATTATTAAATTTTAATTTTTAAATTCTTATGAAAAATAATGCACCAAAACACTTATTTGAAGAATAAATTTCATAAAATCTGATAAAATTGTATTTCAAAATCAGCTGATTTATTTGTTATTAACAGGATTACCAAAAAATTTATTGATAAATTAATTTTCTAACGATGGTGGAATTTATATTGAAACATTTATTATTGATATTTATAATTCAAGATCTTTAGTAATATATTGCAATAACTAGCGGAGACTATTAAGTTTACTATATTGATGACATATTAAATTTTTTCATGTACATTTTAATTACATTGAAGTAGAAAGCCAAAATCTTTTCCAAAATACAATATTATTTCCAGGAAACAGTTAATATGTTTTTTATTTGATGAGAACACGTTCAACAATGGTGAATGAACAACTTGCTGTTGGTCGTTTGAAAAAATTTGAATATTTGCGTTTATTGGAATTAGTTTTCTTTAGCTCGAAACTTCTTTTATGTTCGACGATTCTCTTTATGAAAATTCTCAAAGTCTCTCCTATATGAACTTTTGGGCATGATCCACACGTTAGTTTATGGACCCCTGATTCGTTAGTTTTGTCCATTTTTTACTAATTTTTCTTTATATGTCTACCCAAGGAATTACCGGTCTTAAATGCTTAATCTTCCTCTTGAAGATGATCACTTGGTAATCGAAACACGTGTCGAGGTGTTAAAAATAATGGTTTGGTGTTGGGATAATATTCACTTATATGTTGTGTTGAGGTTCTCTTTTGTTAGTGATCTTTTCATTTAAACCGATGATTTTCTTCTATATGTGAATGTTTTGTTGGTGTTAGGAATCACACGTTAAAAGGTAAGACCTCGTTAATCCTTAGCTCGCACAAGTTTCTACTTCTGAGGGTTGTCGTTCGTAGGGGTGCGACAGCTGGTTAACGGAAACACAGATTTTAAACAGATTTTTTTATAGCGTTATTTTTTAGTTTAGGGGTATACTTGTGTAACAACTTGTTTGAGAAGTTTTTTGTCATGGATGTGATAAACCATGTTCGGGTTGAGGTAGTTGTTTACTGCAATTTGTTTCATCAAATTCAATTCCTTGTTGAAAATCTCTATGGAAATCGGGAATTTTGATAAGGAATTACATTTGATAAAACACGTTACATTAAACAACTACCTCAACCCGAACGTAATGCACACTAGTAGGTGTCTAATGTCATATATCTGTTTAGTTATACTTAATGCTGAGTTCATTACTATCTGAGCTTTTTTATACTACCTATTTGATGTTTAATTCTGAACCAACTGTACTGGAATTATTGATTTTGTAATTAAAGTACTCGAACTGCGGATCTTTTCTAGATATTTTATTCCAAACTGTCATAAAACGCCATACAAAACGAGATATTTGCAATAATTATTAAAAAAAAAACGATTTTTTGACCTTGGAATATCTGTAGTCACGGACAACCCACGATTAATGAGTTTTGAGACAAGTTTTGGGATGGCAAAAAAAAAGGTTCATAAAACTTCATAGCTGGCTATCTTGTCCTCATTTGACTAATATTCCTGATGTATAAGTATGTGGTAGAAACAAACATGTTATTGCAAAAGTCAAAGATAGAAAAACATTTGTAAACAAAGCCAAGGAAATTATCTAATCGAAAAACAGCAAAACTCACTCAGATATTCTTGTTCATCAATCAAATGAATTGAATATGACATTGGAAATATTGTAGTTGAAACTCATTAAAGTCGTCATTTTGAAAGAATATACTGAGTAATGATGTTATTGGATGGAGCAATGTTTTATATGGTTTTCAATTTTCCTTATTGATCGATTAGAATTTTTTGTCTTTAAATTCACACACATAAATAAACAAATATGATATTATGATTATACCCAGAACTATTGGAATAAGTTAACAAATGATATTGTCGAGTTTATATGTAA